AAAAGATGAAGGGGGAAATTGAGAGGTGAGGAAGGTGTTGATTGAAGGGGGTAGATAGGGGAGTGTGAAAGGAAAACGGGATAATGGAGGTGAAGCGGAAGGTAAAGGGAAAGTGAGGTTAGGGAGAAGGGCGGGATTGAAGAAACGGAGGTAGCAGTCCAGGTTACACGACGAGCTGAGCGAGTTGGTAGCAGGGAGCATCGATCGGACGATCGATCGACCTGTCGAGACAGATGGTTTGTCAATGGCGGCGCGGCAGGTGTGGAACGGAGCAGGGAGTCGTCTCGACAGATCGATGGATCGAACGATTGAAGGGGCCGAACAGATAAATAGGTGATGGAAGGAGAAGGAGAGAAGGCGACGGAGAAGTGGTACGAGGAAAGAGAGGAGGTGACGAGCGTGCGTGAGCTGGACTTTGTGACAAGGAGAAGGGAGGGGAGTGAAAAGGGTGAAGATGGACGAGGATAAAGCGGTGGAGGCGAGGGTATGGATACGGACGAGGACGAGGGCTATAGGAAAAAAGGAGAGTAAGAGGGAGGTAGGATGGAAAAGAGAAAGGAGGGGAGGAACTAAAAAGGAGGAACGTGAATATAAGGGTTGAGAAGGAGAAATGGGGAGGTAAGGAGTCAAACTGGGAGAAGACGAAGATAGGTCGGTGGAGGCGAGGGACAGAGAGAGAAGGGAGAAGAATGGGAGATTAGAAGCAAGGATGGAGGAAAGCAGAAACGCGGAGCGGGCGGAGAAAGACAAACTAACGAGAGGGATGGAGGAGAAACTCAGACTTCAGACGAGGAGAAGAAGGACAAGAGGAAGGGGCTGTAGGACGAAGGGGGCAAGGCGAAACAGGAAGGATCGAGGCAGAGTGACGAAGACTCCGAGGAAGCAGAGAAGACAAGAGGGGGTGAGGGGAAAAACGGGGAGGGAGGGTAAAAGAAAAATGTAAGGTCGCAAATGGCCAGGATGAAGGAGTTGTTTTTCTGTTTGTAGAGGTTTGGGTACGTTTCTAAAAAAAAACGCCTTGTAAACCCTACGGGGATAGACAATAAATACAATTGTACATGAAATCATTCTGTACTTTGTACCCTGTTATTGAATTACAATTACCGAGTAACGATAATAATTGCGCGCGCAATTATGCGCGCGAGCGACATTGCCGGCAGGGTGTAAATAAACGGCGCATTTCTCTTCTCGTCTTTGAATAATTAAGCGGAGCGATAGTGACGAGCGATGTTGTTTTCCACGAAGACGCTTCGACCGTGAAAATTTGCCGCTCTCGCCGCGAGACGTTCGTGAGTCACGGCCCAGCAAACGAAAAAAAATTGAAAAGAATTAAAACGGGATTGCTAGGAATTCAATTAAGGACTTTCCGAATTCCATTCTGTCCAAAAAAGAGATTGAAATAGTTTCAATATCATGGAATTCCTTATTTTGGTAAGAATTTGTCTTTTTTGAATCCCATCCAATTCCGACACAAAAATATTATACCACTGAATGCCAGGTTAGGGATTGGAAAGTTTCGTGATGAATTCCATTGAATACCATTGATTTCGTTAACGAAATGAATACCATTGAATGCCAGGTTAGCGACTGGAAAGTTTCGTGATGAATTCCATTGAATACCATTGATTCCGTTAACGAAATGAATACCATTGAACGCCAAACTAGGAATTAAAAATTTTCGTATTGAATTTCATTGAATTCCGTCTATTCTGACAATAAAATAAATACCATTGAATGCCAGGATAGGGATTGAAAAGTGTCCGTGTTGAACTTTGTGGCGGTACGCGCCAACAATAGTACACGCCCGCGCGGTATCTGCATTACCGGCAATTCGCGTCGACGCCGCTAGGCGTTGCATCGCCGGGGCATCTTCTCGAGTTCAAAGTTTCGTCTCGACCGCTATGTAAAAGGACCCCCTACGGTGCCTGACAGATCTTAAAATCTCATTTTCGAGCTAATTGCCCGTCGGCAGTAGTGCGTGTAATGCCCTTAGGCATACACAAAAGCTCACCGACGAACAACGGCACTTGGTTGCCCAACAGAGGCGTGAGACGTTTCCTAAACCATCTAATGCCATGCAATTCCATAACCTTTACGGATTCCATAGGATTGGATGGAATTGAAATTTTTCTTTTTTGGATTCCATGGGATCGGACCATCTCATTTCGAATCCCATCTAATTTCATCTAATTTCGCCAAAAAAAGGGATTTAAAGGTATTAAAAAATTTTAATATTTTTTAATCCTTTTGCGTTTGCTGGGGGGTCACGCCGGTCGCGATAGCGATGAACCGCGGGAACGTTGGACAATATTTGTCAAAGCAACGCGCGGTTCTCGGGGCGTACATAAGCGCTAGAAAACACGAATTTTCTATTTTCGTTCGTTTTCTAGGTCTCGGGAAGGAAACGACGCGGTTACCTTTGACCCTGTGTATTTTCCGTCGTTCGTCGGACGACGCGATCGGAGGCGCGCGGTTCTTGAGGCGTATATAAGCGCGAGAAAATACGAATCTTCGCGCAATTGAATTGTCAGTTTGAAGATTTTGAAAGTGCGAAAACGTTGATAGTCTGAGCTCGCGCGGTACGTACATATGGAGAGAAAAAGTGCCATAAAGAGTGAACTGAAAGATAAGGAAGTTCTGATGTCGTTGTTGGACGAGCCGTTCGAGGATCAGGTCGTAGAGGTCGAACGCACGCCGATGGATATCGAGTCGGTCAATTTCGCTTTGCTCGATCTGCTGCGCAAAATTTGGAATCTTGAATGTTCGGCGTCGCGGAATTTGAGACTGTTGCTCGCAAACGTCTCAAAGTACCTGACAACTACAAATCAGAAGCGAACCGATTGTGACGTACGTCGTATGTGCGAGAGCAGCAACATCAAGAGCGTGCTGACAGAGCTGCATAAATTGTGGCTGAAGGAAGGTCCGAAGAGTCCTACCTGTTCCGTGAATGAAATGTATAATTTCATTCGCGATGGACTTCCGTCGAAGTTGTATTCGTCATTAGTGAGTGATCTGATGACACAAGATACCTTTTACGAATGGATCAACTATCACGACAAATACGTCAAAAGTTTACCCGTCGATGCGGAAGGGGATATCCTCGCCGCGATTTCGACGGATCATTCGTACAGCGCAAAGAAGCGGGACGAGAAGGAGGAGAAGGAGGCAGGATACAGCGGCGGGCTCGACACGTTGTTCAACTTGACGGAGAAGGGTCGCGATCTCGATCGTATGCCGCAGTATATATCGAAGATAAAAGATCGACGGATGCTTACCGTGAAGGCGGAATTCCACTGAGGCAACACTAAGCGACATGTAGTATGCCACATGTCATCTAGTGTCGCCTATTTTTGATGCGCGATTTCAAATTGTGCCACAAACTCGATGTCGCACGAGAAATTTGTCGCCCAATGTCGTATGCGCCTTGTCATTTGTGTTTGTAGTATGCGGCTAAATCAATTTTATTGAAGCAACATCCAACCTCAGTATCGTGCGTCATGTCTTTGGAAACGGTAGCAGCAGCTGTTTATTTGGTAATACCGTTAAGTGGTAAGAGAAAAAAAACGAAAAAAACCAAAGTGGTAGAGAAGAGAATTATTTATTATTAGGAGTCAAAAATCTCAAAATAAATTTTTCAATAAATTGGTTGCGGACAATAGCGCTTTATTTAAAAACTTTGTTGTTAATGTGTAGTTTTTATAATCGGAACTTTTATTGTTCCATAATTCCGGCGAATTATGATAATCCTCAATAAATAACGTAGTTTTCTCAATATTCCACTCCATATCGCTTGCTACAAGCCGCACCGATCCATTGACTGTCGGATAACTGGCGACATCTTTCAACAATCTGAATCTTGTTGAAAGATGGCACATGCAATCGGCAACACCAATCACAGTGTAGCATGCTACACTGTCGCATGCTACATGAAGCTTTATGTTGCTTCGGTTGAAAGACTTCATGTCGCATGCGTCATTGCCGCATGCGATATGTTGCCCAAATGTTGACTCAGTGGAATTCCGCCTTGAGATACGAGATACGCAAAATTGCGATCTCAAATTTTGACCACTTTGTCGCGTACGGATCGCAAGCAACAGTTACTGCGTCAGTTTTTGGACCAAGCGGCGGACGATTTAAAGAAGATTCCCGGTGTTCCAAAGGAAACGAGGAACGTCGTCTACGAAAGTGGCCGGAGCGACGATTGAAAAATAACACTATATTTCATAAATACGCATACTTTTTTGATTACAGATGAGATCAAAAATACATATAAATGTCTACGTATCTTGAGACGAATAAATATACAAATATCCGAATTATTTTCTACCCTACGCTATTATTTCTTACCTTTTCTTATTCGTAGGTTATCGGAGGAGGATAAAAAAGTGCAGTAACGGACAAAGTTTTGTAAGTTTTCTTTTCCCTTTACTTTAACGATAAGTGTTTACAATAATTTCTCGGTATTTCCGAAGCACGGAGTGGCTAATTCGCAATCAACGATGTCATTGCTATCGAAAAATTCCCTCTCACGTATCGCTCTCGGGACGTTCGCGAGATCCGTCACAGTGGCCGCAATAGCGATGAAACGCGTCAGCTTCGCGTCGATCATGCCGGTTATCGCGCGCAACGAGGTCACGAGGCGATTGATGCAAAGGTCGAGGTTGAACATATAGAGCACGGTGTTCATTGAAACGATCAGACGAGTCGTGGATGTTTCCAGGCGTAGAGTCGACAGATTATTAATATTTTTAAATCGTAATGTTAAATCCGTTTTCGATGCACATCGGTGGTGGAGCGCGCTTGTTCTTGCCACGCTGCAGGTGGGACAAGACCGTGCGTTTTTGATCGACGAGTTCCTTCCACGTTTCAGGCGAGAGCGAGATTTCCTTGCCGTGACAATCCCCTATGACGATGTGCACGTAGCATGGGAGTACGGTTGTGATACCGACGTCTATGAATTTGTATCCCGTTTTAGTTAATAGGTATCTTCTTTCCAGAATTCACACCGGATGACGTTCAACGTCGCTTTTCAAAATACCGTCATCGTGACTGGAAATGAAGAAAAATTATTGTTAGATCGTAGGCAAACGATACGGGATCGTCGCAAACTCACCACGTGTTTTTCCGGGAGTCAACGTTGCCCCGATTCGGAAACGGAGTCTCTAATTCCGTCGATTGCTCGTCGACTGTTCTTCTTCTTTTCACGCTACCGACACTGTTCTCGAAATCGTCGTCGGATTGACGCTGTTCGAAATACGGGGCGTGTAACGTCGAGCACATCGCTTTCTCCCTTTTCTCCGTTGTCGCGGTGCGGTTGACGGATCACGCGAGAATGAATCGTCCGAGGGAAGTTGAAGCGAAATATAATTTGAAAAAATAAATTACGATTTCCCTCCTTTCATTAATATTCTCAAGAGCGGCATGCAAAAAGGGGGGTTACGTTGAATCGTTCTATTCTTCCTCTTCTCTGTCTGACGTTTCCCTCGCGTTAATTCGAACGAATCGACTCAATAGATCTCGCAGTTGCATCATCAGTCCCTCTCTCGGGCAGGTAATACCGATGATCTCCAGATCAAATTGCCGAATGCCGTTACGGTTTTCGTAAATTCGTTGAATCTGTAGAATCGGTTTTTACTGATAAAGTACAGATTACCGTCGATGTATCGAAAAGCCGACGATACGCTGTGAGGTATTCCCGGAAATATTATGTCAATGTGGTAGAACTTAACAATAGTCATCGAACAATCGTCTATCTCGCCCACAACATTATCGTTGTATATGATATAAGATCGTCCTTCGTTCGTGTTCAGCATGGCGTTGATCTTTGCGTTCGTATCGAGAAGTCCGAGATCTGTGTGAGATCTCGGCCAAGTTGAAACTAGCTTTACACGCGGATAAGTGATCATATAGCTCATATTGCCAGCGAACAGCACGATATTGCCCGAGGGCGCCTGATACGCGGCCGTCAAACGCGTGAAATTCTTAGGAAGAAATTTCATGTAGTCCGTCAATAGCAAGGGTTTCTTGTACGTTTTCCCGTCTATATCGATCGACCACATGTATCGTTTGTGCGAGATATACAATCGACCGTTCATTATCAGTACGGTATCTACGTTTCGCAAGGTGCACAGATCCGTCTCGACGTCTTTCGTAGTCGCTGTCGTCGTCGTTGCTAGTTTTGGAAATTTAGCGTTTTCTTTAGCGCCGTACAGGTGTTGAATGGAAAGAACGTCCTCTAGACTGAGTTGAACGGGAAATTGATTAACAGGCACGTACGCGAATCACCGAATCTTTGCGGGGGCTGTGTGCCAAGCCTAAAGCATGACCGATCTCGTGCGTCAGCGTCTGAAGTAAATTGTACCTTCCCGGGGGATTCTTATTCAGCTGTATGTGCCACGTCTCCGATTTGTCAACGTGCACCTCCCAGATGTAATTGGGTTCTTCGGTGGAAAAGAACGCGTGAGCGACATCTTTGTGGGGGCCGTCGAACGGAGCTGCACACAGTTTGTTTCCTTGGGAGCGTAACATCGTGTGATGCCCCTCGCGAAACGATATCAGAATATCGGGATTCAGCGAATCACGCTCAAACGTCAATGACGAATTCGCTGCCCACAGATCGAACGCGGCTCGAGCCGTTTTCAAGATCCGCTCGTTGGCCAGATGAAAGTTCCATTTGAGATGTTTCCTAGACCATTTGTTCAAAAGCGGAGCAAACGTGCGCTCCGAAATGTCCTCGACGCCGCATCACGGTTTACGCATTCGATTCAGCGTCTCTTCGTTTAATTCGCCGTCGCCGGGTAGTCGATAGAATTCTTGAAACAGTGAGATGGTTCGATGTAACTCTTGCGTAGTGTTGTAAGACGATAAAAATCGCTGTGCACCGTTGGTGTCGTTTTCCAGATACCCATATTTTTGCAGATAACTGATCACAGTCTCATTTTGATTTGATTCACAATTTACCGCCACGACGATAATAATCGCGCACGTAATTACGCGCGCGAGCGACATCGTCGAGAAAGAGAGAACGATACGTTTCCCTCTTCGACCCCTTGACCTCTCGAGAAGTGATAAGCGTCACCGCCCGATCGAAGCGCGAGTGACCGACGTATCGAGCGATGCGTTCCTTTTTTTCAGCGATCGCGACGCGGGTGTGAAAATCTCAGTAAAGGTGCCAATTCGTGAGACACTGAAAATGAGCGTCGACGAGGCGAACGTGACGATTTCGCTTTTGACGTTAGCGTCAAAGATGTAGTTGCATTTGTATAATATTCAGCATCGTCCTAGTACAATAAAAACATAGACTTTAATATACGTATAAATAATAATAATTATTGTTAAATAATATTTTCAAGTAATAATATTTTATGGATACAAATATAAATAAAAGATATTAATTCTGAAGATTCGGAAATTGATATCGCGACGCGAATGAGAGGTCTCAGTTAGTCTAAATGTTTTCAGCATCGTCCTAGTACAATAAAACATAGACTTTAATATATACGTAAAAATAATAATAATTATTGTTAAATAATATTTTCAAGTAATAATATTTTATGGATACATATATAAATAAAAGATATTAATTCTGAAGATTCGGAAATTGATATCGCGACGCGAATGAGAGGTCTCAGTTAGTCTAAATGTTTTCAGCATCGTCCTAGTACAATAAAACATAGACTTTAATATACGTAAAAATAATAATAATTATTGTTAAATAATATTTTCAAGTAATAATATTTTATGGATACATATATAAATAAAAGATATTAATTCTGAAGATTCGGAAATTGATATCACGACGCGGGTGAGAGGTCATTCGGAAATTGATATCGCGACGCGGATGAGAGGTCTCAGTAAGTCTAAATGTTAGCGAAAATAGATATCGCGACGCAGGTGAAAGGTTAAATATTATATGATTCGGATGAGAGGTCCCAGTAAGTTTGTAAAATGTAAACGGAAATAGATATCGCGACGCGGGTGAAAGGTTACTTATATAAATATATATATATATATATATATATAGGTCCAGAGGTATGTTCCGGGACTGTTTACGTTTTTTGAAATGTACAGTCGTGGAATATAACGCATATATATGTAATCAGATTCAAAAAACTGTCCCGAAAATTGCCGTAGGACATGAATTTTTTCCAGGACAGTCCTGGAAACTGCCAAATGTCCCGGAATATACCGATATCAAAAATTTAAAGTCCCGGAACATACTTCCGGACCTACATATAATTTGTGAAATTTGATGCTTTATCTTTATATATATTAAATTTTCATGCGATAATGTAGGAAAAACAGGAACTGACGTTCGAAGATAAATCTATTTTTACACTTTTACCGTAAAAATTATTTCTCTTTAAAGAGTATATAAGGGGTCCCAACTTGCGAGCTACCGTTAAAGTTATTCGCAATGGAAGACCTTAAACTACTGGTAGAGGCGTGCAACATATTAAACGCAGACGTGGAAACTCTTATTACTAAAACGACATTATTAGTGGAAAGCGCAATGAGTGTGTGCGTGGTTGTCAAAAACATGCGGAAAAATAGTCCGAAATGCATAACAATAAAGTATAACATGGATCAAAGAGAGGACATTGTTACGTTCCGGAGTGCGATCGGGACGTCGGAGTGGGTTTAAATGAAACGCGACTTAAATGTGCCCGGCAACTTTCCAAGCTATCGCAACGGTAAGTAAGAGTAAGTCTTATATTCCGGGTTCCGTCGAGTTTTGAGTCTCGGTGCACCCCCGAAGAATGCAACAAATTTCTAACGTTAGAGTCTCAATTTTAGTGATTTTTGGTTTAGGACGTTCCTCGGCAACCGGAGCCGATTGAGTCGAGCTCGGCGTGACCGGCGCCGCGGCGCCGGCGGATCGGTGAGAGGCGCGGACGGAGCAGACTGAGACGGCACTGCGTCGAATATTCGCGGATCGAATGCACCGGCCGCGTAATAGGCACGCCGCAGCCTTTTAATTTGGTGGGCTTGTCCCGATCGCCTCGATCGAACCATGAGTGACAGCCGCACTTACCTTTCGGTTGTTTGTTCTTCAGCCAGCTCCGATTGGTGACGGCTACTTCGGCTTCTCTTAGAGTGCATGCAGTCGTGTTCGTGTGAGAGTATGTGCGTGTAGTAAATAAGCCTTAGCGCTATCATGCAGCTTAACTAATTTTTAGTGACCTGAGTTTAGGAACGAAGAAAGAAGTATGAAAAGAAGAGAACGCCCTGCGGGAGGCGCGCATCTAAGGAAGGATCGATCAAGAACGCCCTGAGGGAGGCGCGCATTGACGTATGGATCTACCGAGAACGCCCTGGAAGAGGCGCACACGATTAGGGAGAATCGGAGGTAATTCAGTCTAGAGACAGGAAGAAGCAATTTTAATTCGGTATTAAACGAACAGGTTTATTATTCACACTTTCCTGGATTTTACAGGCTCGACAACGTACGACAGCGCGTGAGAACAAATAGAAGCGCTCGCGGCTAAGTCCGAGTAGAAGCGCTCGCGGCTAAGTCCGAGTAGAAGCGCTCGCGGCTAAGTCCGAATTGAAGCGCTCGCGGCTAAGTCCGAATTGAAGCGCTCGCGGCCAAATTCGACTAGAAGCGTCAGAGACTATGTTCCTTCGACTCGCGGTGCTCTCGAAAATTAGAATCTTGTTTCCGAAACCAAAGACCAAATGCGAATGTCGCCTCGCAAGGCCCGTATTTATACCCCCAGCTCGGTGGCGTCTCGGGGAAAAGGCTTCCGGGTTCAAGCGAGTACTCGTGAGCGTCACGTGCACTATTAGGATTTTTTGAATAAACGCGCCATAAACTCTACCCCCATGGTGATGTGGAAAAAATATTTTTCGTTATACCAAGTAAATTCAAAAAATAAAAAAAAATAATAAAATTTCACCCCCCACTTTCGAGTCTAAGACCCAAAATATCAATCCTAGGTAAAAAATGATAAAGACTAAAATTGTAGAGTATTAAATTTTCTACAAGTTTGGTTATTACCACTTTCACTCTAAAGTTGAAAATAAGCAAGATATTTACAAAATCACCCTTCTAATCAAAATAGCGGCTAACGCTCCAGGGTTAGAATCCCGAAAATCCGGTTTTAGACTATTCATGACACTCCGAAACAGTCAAAAAAAAAAAATTGCTTCCCGGAATTAATTCCATTTAAATGTCTCTATTGACTAGGCTAAAAATTAAAATTAAAATTGAGAAATGTCTTGATACTGATTGTGAGTATCTTAAAATATAATATCTTAATACTAATAAAACTTAAAATTAATACCTTAATACCAAATAACTAATCGCATATCACAAATGCCATTTAACAAAAATTGTGCAAATTAGAAATTTGCACTTGGCTTCCTCATAGAGGAAACTTTCACTTCCGCAAATTTGGAGATATCGATTTATTTTTAATTTTATTATATTTTTCAGTTTTTTCTACCCCTATTTTATATATAATTCTTTTAAATTCGGTTGATTAGACTTAGCTTTATACGCAATCAAAATCTCCGAAATTTCAAACGTCTGTAACTCCAGAACTAATTAACCAAATCTTAATTAATTATATATGAAATAGGGGTAGAAAAAACTGAAAAATTTAATAAAATTAAATATAGATCGCTATCTCAAATATTGAGAAAGCTATAAGATAAAACACACTTTTCTAAAAAAAAAAATTCCAATAAAATCTATACCGGTCAACCGATTTTAACAAAATTTGAGGAGAACATACTTTCTATGATACTTTATTTGTGTGAAAAATTTCAACCCGGTATCTAAAAAATTGTAGAAGTAGATGCGTGTACAAAAAATCCGTACATACACACACACACACACACACACACACACACACACACACACACACACA